GTCATATTTTGTATATACGGTTTCTGAAGTCTTTTGGATCTGAGACTTTTTGCATCATTCAGTGGTAAAAGCTTTGCTCAAACCCCTGTTGTACACATTCAGATATACCTGATAACAGCCAGTAGAAGACTACACCAACATATATTTTTGACTTATTGCACGCTAATTTGATCGAAATAATTTGTTTTTTTTCTTCATATGTTGTTGAGGTGCCAAAGAAAGACTTCAGACTAAAAAAATCCAATATTCTTCCTATTTTTCTTGGATCGGGCTTTAAAGGGTTAATTTTGTTCCGTTGCGATTATTTTTTAATCACACTTTCATTCATATAGATTTGATTTAAAATGACAATATCTTAAAAATATGTTCATTATATATTAAGTTTCCTCTAGTTCAAAGGTCAGTACTGTGCACGTGTCAGTGGAGAGTAAGTCAGCAGTAAATAAATAAGCAGTTTCTTACCCCAAAAACATGGCAGAGAAACTAAACAAAACGTATCACTTTCACAACGAATGGGAGTAGGAGTCTTTTTTTACGACTGTAAAATAAACCTGCGTGTGTCTGATTTGCTGGGCAACTTAAAACTGTGTTCATGACTTGTAACAATAATAAGTTTGTTAAAAATTTTAAAGATTTGGTCACGAGTTCAAAATGTGACGAGATTTCTTTTAAATATGCAAGTTGATTTTTCTTTAACATTAAATAATTGATAAGGCCCCTACACACAGCTCTTGTAAAACCCTTTTAAAGACCCACTTTTACTCTCAGGCCTTTTAGTTGTCCTAATTTCCCTCTCCTACTTGGTTTTGTTTTTTTTGTTTGTTTTTTTTGCTCTTACTGTTTTTAATCTTTGAGTTTGTCTTGTGTTGTAGTTTTAATTGTGTTTTATGATTGGTTCAAATGGCCTGTACAGCGCTTTGATTTTAGCTTTGGCTGATTGAACGCGCTTTATAAATAAAGTTGAGTTGAGAATAACTTTTTGAAACATGGGGCAACATAGTTCATGATTTGTTAAAAGGTTTTGTCAGTGGCTAGTGAAAACTCCTAAGGAAATTTAGTGAACATCTAACAGTTGCTGAGATAAATAGAGATAAAGTGGTGGATATTGATAGGTTTCCCATTTTGTTGTCACTTTTGTCACAAGATGAGTATCATTACTGATTATTAATAAAGTATAACTAAAGGCATATTGAGCAAATGTATTATTTCAGAAGAGTGGATCAAACTGGTAGCCCTCAGTGTGACTCCGTTTCAAAATGGTTGGTGACCCCTGATTTAATCAAACCCCTGAAGTGACTCCGTTTGAGGGTTTTCCTACTTTGATCATCGTCTCCAGCTTGATGGCGTCGGCAGCAAACTTGCGGATGCCGTCGGACAGCTTTTCCACGGCCATTCGGTCCTCGTTGTGCTGCCAGCGGAAAGCTTTCTCGTCCAGGTGCAGCTTCTCCAGATCACAGGCCTTAGCTGCGCAAAAAAACCCTCAAAATTAGTGTCCACAGATACAGTTTCAATACAATTTGTAGTAAAAAAAATTCTATCAAGACATACTCTGAAGCTGGAGACTAAATAAAGGAAAAAAATACACAGATCTCACAAATAATTCAAACACATTTAACCTGTAAAAACCTATTAAAAAAAATAAAGGAAAAAAATTATACAGCGTTCACACAAGTAATTCTAACTAATTTAACCCTTTAAAAACCTATTAAAACAGAAAATGAAGGAAAAAAAATATACAGATCTCACAAATAATTCAAACTCATTTAACCCTTTAAAAACCTATTAAAACAGAAAATGAAGGAAAAAAAATATACAGATCTCACAAATAATTCAAACAAATTTAACCTGTAAAAACCCATTAAAAAAAATAAAAGGAAAAAAATTATACAGAGTTCACACAAGTAATTCTAACTCATTTAACCCTTTAAAAACCTATTAAAAAATTATACAGAGTTCACACAAGTAATTCAAACTCATTTAACCCTTTAAAAACCTATTAAAAAA